GTACCACATAGGCTCCTATGGAGATGCATTATTTCAGAGTCCATAGTAATCCAGCCTTGGGAGATCGTAAGCACTAAAGTGATTGCTTCGGACAATGGCGTTCAATCCGTTGGACGCACGTTTCAGGCAGTGATAAAGGAATGGGGAATTAAACACCGTTCAACTGCTTCTTATTCACCGCAAGGTAACCCGGTGGAAAGGCCAAATAAAGTAATGCAGGAAGCATGATTGCGCAAACAACGAAAAATGGTCAAAAGAAATGGGATGCTCAGCTGCAGCAAATAGCTTTTGCAATAAATTCGGCACGGCAAAATTGATCCCAGCTTTTCTCAATTTTGGACGGAAACTTCTGCCGGTGAAAGAGAATAGGTTGGTACCATACTGGAACTTCAAGAGCAGGCAGAAATTATGGAAAAACTGTCAGTTAGTGAGAGACAGGTATGGAAATAAGTATACTGTCGACGACGATACCGACAAGGAAAAAGGTATAATGAGTAAATGAACACCGAAATATTAGGGACTCTATGATATCAAAAAAAATATTTCTCCTGTAATAATAGAGGTAATTTTTTACCTAAACAGTAAGAAAATCCAACGGGTCCATGTGAAAAATGTTCAACCAGTTGTTGATCCCTCACCAAGCTGTTAATTCCCATATAAATGGAGGGGAAGGCAACGTAAAAGATCCGTAAAAGATAGAGCTGTTACCATCACCTCTAGAAGATTTCATGAGGATATGCGAAGAGGTCGCTTCATTCATAAGATAGTTCGATAATCTAGGAATACAAAGGCCATTAATAGCCAAGCCGAAAGTGTTTCGACATTGACCAGGAAGCAGCGTCGAAATAGAAGACGAATTTCTATTCATGTAGGTAATGGAAAGTTGGTACGAATAACTCGTTGAAAAAAAGGCAGTGTACAACCTTTCTTTTTTACCAAAAATCAACTGCACCAAAATTTCTCGGGAAACACTTTTTCTTATTAATTTTTGGTGCGTAGAATCCAAAACAATTCGTACTTTTTCAATCGGACATCTCAATCAAAAGTTATGGACTAGAAACTAGGGAATGCAATACCGGGATTGATAAATGGAGCGGGATCCCGCGGGATTTGCGGGACTAAGGAATTTGTCGACCAAGGGGACGACTCTGTTTACTTTGCTAATGAAACTGATAACGGCGAATTATTTTTTAAATAATTGTTAAACTTTTTTCGTTAAAAATGTACTATGATTTTTGAGGCACTTTAGAAGACTTTTTGTGCTTTTCAGGTAAAGTTTTTTTGAGTTCTAAGTTAGGCCGAAGGTACTTTTTTGTTAAATATTGTGATAATTAGCGATTTATTTTAATACTACGCCAAAAGTGGCTTTAAGAGATGAAAAATTTGAGGTTGTTATTATGTAACTCGATCATTAAGATTTATTTTCGAAGATATTAATTAATTCTTTTTGTTTCAGGTATGGATCATATTTATGGCCTTATGGTTTCAAAGTTACAGGTAGGTGCTGTCCAGTAAAACAATAATGAATAAATTCGTGCAAGTAACATACTGCACTAAAAAGAGGATTTTTTTGCAATCTCGATTGTATTGCCTATACTGTAGTATGTATAGAATTAAATTAGAAAACGAAACCAAAAGTTTGATATTAAATTTCATTTCAATTTACGGCTAACTGCAAAGGTGAAAGGCGGGTATAATTACTTTTTGGAAACCCTCGCAAATCTTGACAGCCCTGAAGTGCGGTGATTAATTTCCATATTATTTTTTTCTTAATCGCGCGTGAATTGCAACTGCCATTATTTCTATAAGCACTTCGTTGATTATATTTCCCTTTTCTGTTTACGTAAGGTATTGGTTTCGGCCGATAAAAACACTAATTTATCCGCATTGCGTGGTTTGAAAATTAAAAACAATTAAATTTCTCTTATTCTAATACTAATTAGCATAGATAAAGTAACAGAATTTTAAAATATGTAAATTCCTATAATTACGAAAATGTTCATCGTTTTACGGCGGCTCCTCTGTTCTTCGTATTCTTAATTACTTGAACATCGTAATTTTAAATAAACTCGCGTGCGAAACCACGACTGCGGGGCTATTTTCTCTTTTATTTTCAACGTTTTTCTTTATTAATGAAGCGTGTTAAGTAATGAATGCACCATATTGTACATTGAAATTTAAATATTATGCCAACTTCGTTTATGGAAGTCAATTGCACTCTCTGTTTTAAACAGCGTTTTCTCAGTCATATTTCTTCCAAACAAAATGACATAAACACAGATTTGCAAAGAGGAGTTAGTTTGCGCTAGAAGATTCACAAGATGCACCAGATGCAAAAGGTAAACGATTTTATTTTCCAACCATGTGTCAGCTCGAATAAATCAACTATTTTAAAGTAATTAAATATAACAGCTTTTATACACAAAATGTACTAAAAATCGCCCTGGAAATCTCCAGTAATTTCGGAGAAAGTCACCACCCTGCACGTTGAACATTTTAAGGACTATAATATTCGCAAATATTCTGGATGTAGTAAACTCTTCCATTTATGAAAATATATACATTTCTAAATAATTATTAGTTTTATCCTGTAAAGTCCATTAATTTACTAATTTGTTTACTTTTCAAAAGTAAATGTATAGTCAGCAAATTAAATTTCCAGTGAGAGTGCTGACTAGGGCTGATTACATTGTATATACAGTGTTATTTACTAACAAGTAGACATAGAGATTTATGTGTATTGTTTTTCCCTATGTCTACTTTTAAATGACAAAGTATCTTCTGAAGGGCGCCTAATTTTATGCAACTTAAATTCTTAAATAAATAAAGATCTGGCTGTCTCATTAATTGATTTGAATATTGTTCTTTTGGCTTCCGTATTTTTATTTTCGTTCGTGTGCGAGGTATCTGACGAAAAAAACTGATATTGTCACGTGGACTATAGTGCCGGTATTCTACATGCTGTGATACAGCCAGATGTTTAACTTGATAGAATTCAAAATCTTGCCGTACGGTTAGCGTCTAGGTGCTTTCCGAACTGACCCTTTAAAAGTCCCTATAGGGAAGGCTAATACACTACCACTTCCTTTTCGCCGTAAGCAGCTGATGGTTAACTATTACTACAAAATTCTAATAAATAGGGAACATCCGAACCACCAGGAATTTGTTGAAAATGTAAGAAGGGGGCGTCTTGATAGGTGCAGACCTTTGGGCATCAGGGCAAGGGAAGCGATAGCAGAACTTGATTTGTCAGACCGGGAGGTCTTGCATCTGTCAAAGACAGCACGCCAGACCCTTGTGAAACGGAGAATGTGGGAGTACTGGGAAAGACAATGGGCAAACTCAGAAACTGCTCTGAGAAAGGTTAAACCGAATTTAGCACCAATGTTTTTAATAAGTGCGGCAAGAATTGACCTGGTGAGGATATACAGATTGCGACTGGGACACACTGCTATCACACATGAATATTTACTTTCTAACTCTAACCGACCCCAGTGTGAAAACTGTGAAGTTGATCTGTCGTTAGAACACATAATGTGTCAGTGCCCACGCTACGAACAACAAAGAAGGCGACTCGACATTTGTGCAACAGTAGAGGCAAACTTAACAAGTGAAAAGTGTAGAAATACGCTAATCTTTTTTAAAGAAATAGGACTCCTTAATAAAGTCTAATACTTTTAACTTACCTCGTAATAAAGGCCAATAGCCTCAGCAGCTGACGCCTAAGGAGGGGTTTTAGTGGGTATACCCAATATTCGGGGGAGCCCCACACTTTGTGCGTAAATGCATTTCCCCTCCTAAGAAAAAAAAATACACATAAATCCCTATGTCTACTTCTTAAAATTCACCCGTTGATATGCGAAAAACCGTTAAGTTCAGATCTAGTTAAGTCCGTTAAAGTGCGAAAATGCGTTTGTTCGCAGATTACCTAGTTATTCATCCTGCAGATGCACTAGATAATGTACAGATTGACAACCAAGTATGCGTTAATCTGAAAAAAATGGTTCTTTGCTTAAATAGAACATTAGAGTTGACTGCTACAAATACCTTTAATTTGGTATACTCAGTAAAAATATAGAAAAAGCAAATCTTGTTTAAATTGTGAAAAGATAAATAATTACAACATTTTTGAACAAATTTTCTCACTTTTCTTGTTTCTCGGACAAGATCGCGTAACACGTTCCAGTGCACTAAAGAAAGAGATGGCTATAGAGCCACAACGTCATTTACACGTCACAAGAAAGCTTATGAATTAGGGGTTGTAAAACACAATTCCTTTTTGTATTGTGAATTAATTCCTAGATTAATTCGTTTTTTTTTATTAGGAGTTTTATGAGTGCTTTTTAACACAGAGGTCTTACAGCACTGTTACAATAAGTCTTACAGTAACATAAATAGATCTGTAGCTTTTAAAAATTTAACAATATCGATAGGACAGGTAAACAATTTAGTACAGGAATCGTTAGTAACATCATGGTCTAATCTCGATTGTTGATATTTGGGGCAGTCCTGCAATATATGTCTAACGGTCAATATCACATTACACTGTTCACACATAGGTTGAACGCTGTTCTGTAGTAGAAAATCGTGAGTCATTCTAGTGTGGCCCATTTTTACCCTGTTCAGCACCGTTTCTTCTTTTCTCGTTAGTGTAGCCTGTAGCGGAACCGGTCCATTTCAGAGGACGAGGGGGAAGGAAGTATTGTTTTCGTTCTGCCAGGGCTGTCCAGTGGTCTAACCATTTCCGATGGATTGTACCCTGTAGTAATGATTTACAGTCATTTCTCAGCAAGCACTGTTCATCTTGTGTGGTTTTGTGAGTAGCTTCTTTGGCGAGCTGGTCCACTGTGTCATTTCCTGTAATGTTCGTGTGCGACGGAATCCATACAAACTGTAGGTGTTTACTGCGGTCATGAATCAGCCGTCGGAGATCGTGTATTTCCTTCATATATTCATTGCGCGAATAAATATCGGCCATGCTCTGTATGCCACTCAGAGAATCAATCGGTCAGTATGCAGTAGGTATCGTGTTCACTATTTAGGACGTACTTTAGTGCTTGTTTTATAGCATACAATTCTGCACTATAAATGGAGGACTCCGGAGGTAATTTAAAAAGGCCTTTTTGCTTCTCAGAACTGAAGGCAGCTCCTGTACCTGTAGCATCTTTAGATCCGTCAGTAAAAATCAGCTTAGATTTTTCGTGGTTTGTGAGTATATCTCGGAGCAGGATCTGATACCAATTGGGATTTGTTTCTGCTTTACGGTATTGAGACAATGCGATGTTAATGTGCGGTGGAGGAATAGCCCACGGATAGGGTAGTGAGAATTGTGGGATTAATGTGGGTTTGCAGTGAAGTTCTTGTAGAAGTATTTTGGACCATACATTACAGGGTGGAGATATTCTTGGAGCGAGTTGGTAGCTATTCTGAAATAATGGTTGACTGAAGTCTGCATGGTTGGGATGATTTCGGTTCCCTAATACCCTCACAGTATAATTCAGTAGCTGCTTGGAGATTCTGTATTCTAGTGGAATTTGTCCGCTGACAGCATATAGGCTCATTATTGGGGTGGTACGGTGGGCTCCCGTGGCGATCCTCAATCCATAATGATATACCGAGAACAGTTTTTTAGTCATTCTGTTAGTAGTGGAGTTGTAAATACTTAGGCTGTATTCAATTTTTGATCTTATAAGGGCATTGATGATAGTAAGTAACGTTTGAGTGCTTGAGCCCCAGTCTTGGTGAGCAATCATTTTGATAACGTTAAGTGAGGACTTGCAACTGTCAATTACCGAATTAACGTGGGATTTCCAAGACATTTTTCGGTCGAAAATTAGTCCCAGGTATTTGACTTCCGAAACGTTTTCCAATGTGGTNTCGAATAAAGGGAAATCAAACTCCAATTTCAAAATTTGGTTTTGCGCATGCGCAGTGCCAACTTTTTTATTTATGGAAGAATTTAAACGAAATTTGATACAGAAGCACTTCGAATAAAGGAAAATCAAACGGCAATTTCAAAATTTGGTTTTGCGCATGCGCAGTGCCAACTTTTTTATTTATGGAAGAATTTAAACGAAATTTGATACATAGGCACTTGGGATAAAGGAAAATCAAACGACAATTTCAAAATTTGGTTTTGCGCATGCGCAGTGCCAACTTTTTTATTTATGGAAGAATTTAAACGAAATTTGATACATAGGCACTTGGAATAAAGGAAAATCTAGCGCCAGTTTCAAAATTTTATTTTGCGCATGCGCCGTGCCAACTTTTTTTTTATCTATGGAACTATTTAAGTGAAATTTGATACTTAGGCGCTTGGAACTAAGGAAAATCTTAGTTTATTAGTTAGTTATAGTAAATTAGTTTTAAAATTTAGGTTTGCGCATGCGCAGTTCCAACTTTCTTATTTAGAAAAGCATTGAAATGAAATTCTTCGCATAAACTGAAATTGAAGTAGCACGTCAACAATGGATTGCCCATGTGCTACGCTATCTTTCATATTTGTGGCCGGATTTTTACGATTTTAACAGAAGTTGCATCTTACAAATGGGAAATGAATGCAAGTGGAAATGCGCTTTATGTAAATCGTTTACGATTACTTTTTAACTTGTTTGATCTTATAAGGGCATTGATGATAGTAAGTAACGTTTGAGTGCTTGAGCCCCAGTCTTGGTGAGCAATCATTTTGATAACGTTAAGTGAGGACTTACAACTGTCAGTTACCGAATTAACGTGGGATTTCCAAGACATTTTTCGGTCGAAAATTAGTCCCAGGTATTTGACTTCCGAAACGTTTTCCAATGTGGTTCCATAAAGCCTTAATCGTGGGAGCAGTGGTCTTCTTTTATTTGTGAATGTCAAGCTTTTCGTTTTTTGCTCTGAGAAAATAATACCGTTATTCTTTGACCAGTGTTCAAGGCGTTTAAGGGAGCGCTGAAGCAATCGTTCAGTTGTCCTTGGATTATTACTAGACGAAAAGATCACGAGATCATCCGCATATAGCGTCCCCTGCACTTCTTTGGGTAGTTCATCTAATATATCATTAATGGCAATCAAGAAAAGGGTAGGGCTCAAAACAGATCCTTGGGGAACACCATTATCTTGGGTAACTTTTTCCGAAAAAGTATTTCCAATACGGACTATGAATTTCCTGTCAGTAACAAAATGTTTGATGAAATTAAGTATCTGGCCGGTGATGCCCCAATTCTTAAGAACACTAATAATTTGGTGTCTCCATGTCGTATCATAAGCTTTCCGAAGGTCAAAGAACACCGCTGAGAGCTGTTTTTTTTTAACCAAGGCATTTTTAATGGATATTTCTAATTTGCTGATGCAGTCGATTGTTGATCTTTCTTTTCGAAAACCATTTTGATTGGAGGAGAAGAATTTGGATGTTTCTAGGTATGCCATTAATCTATTATTGATTATTCTTTCTAGGATTTTGCAGATTACTGAGGTCATCGATATTGGGCGGTAGCTGTTAGGATCATTCATAGGTTGCCCATGTTTGTGAATTGGTACGACCACTGCTGTTCTCCATGCTATTGGAAACGTACCGGAATTCCAGACGTTATTGTACAACTTGATGAGTTCGATTTTGAACAGAAGTGGAGCATTCTTGACCATCAAGTAATGGATATCGTCCAGGCCTGGACTAGAACCTTTACATTGTGCCAATTGTGTAATTGGATATCCTTATTGAAAATTTCGTTGTTATTATCGTGTGCTGTACTGGTCATATGTTTGGCAGTTTCCTCAGTAGCTATTTTCATGTTAAGAAATTCGGGATCATAGTTATTGTTGCTAGAGTTCGTCTGAAAGTGATGTGCGAATACGTTGGCTATATCTTCATGGGTTGTAAATGTTACTTGACCTTGGACTATTCCTGTTATACGAAATGATGTATTGATGCCCTTCATTCTGCGTACTTTTGTCCACATTTCTTTAGGCGACGTATTTATGTTGATAGATTTAACGTAGGTATTCCATGAGATCTTTTTGCTAGTTTTTATTATTTGCCGCGATTTTGCTCTGAGTTTCTTGTATTCTATGAGGTTTTCTGTGGATGGGTTCCTCCTATATTTATTAAATGCGTTATTCTTTTGCTTAATAGCCCTTTTACATTGCTCATTCCACCAAGGGACTTTGTACGATCGAGTCCCTGTTCCTATGGTTGATGTTGGAATCGATACCGTAGCTGCTTTAATTACTACATGGTTTAACATTTGAACGTCATTATCTATGTTATTGGGAACAGAACACTTAAACGGTTGTTTGGTTAATTCATCTCTAAAACAACTCCAGTTGGCATTTTCAAATTGCCATTTCTGACGTGTCGTCATGTTAGTATGTAGTTTAGAGTTGAGGGTGATCATTATAGGAAAGTGGTCACTATCTGAGGGATCTTCAAGCACAGTCCAGCAGAGATGTGCGGCAAGTTTCGTACTTGAGACAGCTAAATCAATGGCTGAGAAGCTATTTGTTCTGGCATCGAAGTGTGTAGCCTCTCCGGTGTTGAGGAGTACGAAAGGAATTATAATTGTGAATTGTGGTCTGGTGAATTAGGATTTGATTTGTGAATTGTGGATTAATTCCTTTTTTGGTATCATAAAATGCAGTATCTTTTGGTATAACGCTAGTACTATATTCATCTGTATGTTTGTGTCTTAGCCTAATACGCCACGCGTTTAATTACCATTCTGACAATAACTCTCGATTCCTTATCGGTTAGTCAAATTAATATTTCGTGAATGCATATTTGGCGCCGCAAACAATCAATGCTAGTTTGTACAAGAAGCACGACACGCGCCTTTCGTTAACTTTGTAGTGAGCGACCTCAAAGGAATTTTTGCAATAATAATTTGTTATTGTCTTACCTCAGCGGTTATTTTTGCGTTTATATTTATTGAAATAAACTGTCGAACAAACCCGTTTACTAGAAGTATCTTGTAATGTCATTAATTTTGTGCTGGAATAAACTGCACAATTTCGAGAATTGCAGTTTTATTTTTAATTTCGCGAGCGTTTATGGTTAATCTCTCACGCGCATCGGGATGACTAAGGAAAAACGGCAATTACCACAATTTTTAAAACGTTTTTTTTTGGAATTAATGTCGCTGCATATGTGGAAGCATAGGTATTGCGCTCATTACGTTTGAAAAACGTAATTTTTAGTTAACGCGATTTTAACTGTAACAGCTGGGTAATATTTAACATGGCGAGTGTATTTTTGTTTAAAAGGGTTTACTGTTGAAATTATTCTTTCGCGGATATTTTTAATTGGCTTTTCTTCGCTTCCTTTCGTATACGATTATGTAATCGCAAATTTTATCAAAATATACCCTGTTTGGCTCTATCGAAATACGCTGTTACTATTATAACCGAGATTATAACCCTATTTAGCCTTCGGTGTCGTGTTTATGGTACTTTTTATGGAAATTGCTAGAAGATATTGTGCGAAAGATAACCAACGTTATTTTATTCGCTATTGTGCCATTTATTAACGAGCTACCCACAGTTCGTTCATGATTTTTGACTTTCTGACCGTCCATCCTTCCGTCTTTCTGTGTACATGATGCCTCGCAAACGACTTTCGAATTTTCCAATTCTATTTTCAGTATCATGTTAATCATTACCCAGGGAAGGACTGATCCAGGAACTGCTCTCCGTTTGTACGTCTGTAACAAATATGACAAACGAGCTCCTGGGTCAAAATTTAATCAGCTCTTCCTTGTGTGATGTTAAAAATAATACTGAAAACAGAATTGGAAAATGCGAAACCGTATGGGAGTTATCACGTACACAAAAAGGAAGAACTGATTAAATTTTCAGTGATTCAGGGGTTCGTTTGCATGGTGTTTAGTCTAAAGCATCAATTATTGTGTGACAACAAATGGTGAATGTGATTGTCACTGATATTATTCAATTATGGGTTATTAAGGAGCACTATGCAAAAAAATTAAGTGTACTTGCACGTTTTGAAAGTGTCTTTTTTTTACTTATTTGTTTGATTAACTCGGTATCACTTTCAAAAGTAGTTGTACAAATAACTATAGTCAAGTTATTGGTGATTTCTTCCTGGGATTTTTTGAAAGAAGAACAATTCAATGTACGCAATTAAAGATTGTAGGCCTAACCTTTCAAGGTGTAAGACTTTAAATTCACAATAAACCATACTTTGTTAGAGTTTGAAAACTGTTTTTTTAATGAAAAACCCTCATTTTTCTGTTAATCAATATATTTTATACTAATAAATAAGGGTAGTTATGCAATCATATTCATATGGCTGCGCCCCACGTTGAGCGCCAAATAAATAATGTTGTGTGGAATGGGGTGCTGTCATACACCACACACAAAACACCATGTAGCTCAAAATAAACTTTAAATTAAGAATTTTGTTTCATGATTTTGAACTTTCTGTCCATCTGTCTGTGTTTTTAGCTCGTTGTCTATATTGAGTTTATTATAAATTAATAACAACAAACTACGTCTGTAGTTAATCAGATATGGTGAACTACCCTAATCAAAATAGCGTAAAGAGACGTACACTATTTTCCAACCGTCGCGTCGCGAACCAGCCGCTTTTTTCGTCGTCTCCAGTATTTAACGAAACACTACCTCCACCATACAATAACCTGTTTCTTCCGGTATTTACAAATACGGCGCCAATCAAAATTAGATTAGATAACTCCAACTTCGAGGGAACGTGCTTTCTCATGAGATGCGTAATTGTTCGTAACACACATGCATTATCTTATCTGTGCAAGATGTGCACTTTCCTTGAAATTAATTAATTTTCGCCTGATATTAAATCGTAAACAGTCAAATAAACCTTTTATAAAATAAGCAAAATTTGAGCAGGTGTAACCACATTTTAACACACGTTTTTCTGCTTTACAGAAACACAAATTTAAATAAACAATTTACAGAAGCGATAAAATTAAACAAACAAAATTACGCAATTAGAAACAATTTTAAAATGGAAAAACAACATTAAGATACAAATTCAAATGAAATAAACTTGTTTTGTGCTTATTTATACTAAATTGAAATATTTCTCATATACAGGGTAGCCCGTAATTATTTTTGGTGTTTAGACCAGAATAACGTCTACATGACGTTTACACAATAAATATATAATTGTATTTTAGGTATTGTTATGTTTATTTTCTTGACATAATTGCAGTCTAAGAAATGAGGTTCGCTTCATTTTTAAAAACTCAATTTTTCTTTTTAATTCCTATTTTGTCAAACAATTTTTACAGTTATCCCAACCCGACTATTATAAATAGTCCGAATTAAAATTTTGAAAAATAGGAACTTTCCACGTAAATTGTATGTGCACTAGTTCTATACTTCAATGTGAATATCACTCCACCTATATCATCAATTACTTTTAATTGCAACAAAAATTCCCCTCGAAATTACCATATTCCCGAAATTAGGTGGCCGGGTGTTTTTAAATATGAAAATATCCAGTTCAGAATTAATTTTTGAAAAAAGTTTAACTGCATCTCTCAATTGTATCTCTTAGCGGCATGTATAACAAAAGTGTAGCCACACCATTGCCAAAAACCGTCCATAAATTTCAGGCTATTTTCTGGGATGGTAATTGTTTTAGGTAGTTTTGCGAACTATCCGCAAAATTTGAGTTCATTTAGAAAGAGATGTTATGCTCACCCCTGTACTAAAGTAAACTACTATAATCTGTTCTAATATGTTCTAATTTTGCGTTTAAATTAAACATGGCTGTTCTGAACATTACAAAAATCGTAAACATATACCTACCTACTTAATAATCTTTTCTTTTGAAAACTAATTAGTATTAGGTACATCACTGTAATAATAAATGGTTGCCATCCATTGGTGGAGTACTATTGTATCGTTTATTAAGCTTATAGATATAAAGAATAAAGCATATTTACTTGCACTGATTCAATTTTTTATCGTT